AATCTAAGATCCAGGGGCTGAAGGTGTAGTTCAGTGGTAGAGCACTTACCCAACATGTGAAAGGCTCTGGGTTTGATTCCCAGCACTGCAAAAAAAAAAAAAAAAAAAATCAATCCAAGATCCATCCAATAATCACATATATCATCTGGCTATTGTGTCTGATGTACTTAATCTATAGTAAATTCTGAGAATTATTATTATTTGGTCCTTTATGTCATTGACATATTTGAAGCAGAAGCTGACACATTTTTAAACTTACCTCCACCTGCTCCCTTCCTCGCTTTTCCAGTTTCTAGTACTTAAAAAAAAAAAAAATCCTTCCCCTCTAGAATTCCAGTACTCTCAGAACTTTCTCTCACCACAGATAAGCTCCTGGGKCATAAGGGACACTTCATTTATTTCTTCTTCCTCAAGCCTGTTTGTTCATTAACCTGCTGAAATCACATTTCTGCCCGCCTCACTCTACTGATCCTGCTCTAAGGTTGCCAGAAGCTTTCTAAATGTCAAGTCTAAAGGACATTTATGCAACCTCTCTGCAGCAGCTGTTATGGCTACCCATTTTCTTCCTCACGTGTTCTAAAACCTTGGCATAACTCTTGTTCTCTGGCTGAGACTGGCCAGGACACCACAGTYGTCCTTGACCTTCGTCTTATTGCCTCCACAGCTTCAACCACCAGCTATTAATGATTTCCAAATCTCTTCTCCAATCCAGAACTCTCTCCACAGTTCAAGACCCACCCATTTATTTAACTACCTACCAGCCATGCTGACCCAAATTCCCATAGTTTCCTATATATGTGTCCATAATATTTCCCCTTCAACACTTTCTTCTCACTATCTTCCTTTCCTTAATAGAAAAACTAGTCTTCCAAATTAAAAAAAAATTATCCTCTTCATACCTCATTCTCACCAAACTATCATTAATTCCTCTTGATTCAACCCCCRGTATAATTTCATATCATCACCTTTTCTCTAGCTCCACATTAATGGCACAGGACAGGCCCTCAATAGATTTTCTATGGACATCATAAAAACTATGTTAATTTCTTTTTTTTTAACWTTTTTTTTAGTTGTAGATGGACATCTTTATTTTATTTTTATTTATTTTTATGTGGTGCCGAGGATCGACCCAGTGCCTCACATGTGCCAGGCAAGCACTCTACCACTGAGCCACAGCCCCAGACCAAAACCATGTTAATTTCTATATTTCCAGTCCTCCTYTCCAGTCTATCCTCTCTCCCGTGCACGTTCTTTCCGTGAAACACATACTGGCTCATGTCAAACACCTTCCAGAGTCCTTATCAGGCACAGTTTAGCATGGTGGTTAAGGACACAGGCACTGGAGTTGGAAAATAAAAACTGGATGCAAATGCTAGGTTTTTCCACCTACTGTATAGGCAGGAGACACTACTTATCCTCTTTAAGCCTTAGAGCTTTAATTTATAAAACGGGGATAATTATGTCTACCCCACAATGTTAAGATTACAAATGATATAAGTAAAACATCTGTTCAGACAAATTCAGTAATAATTGTTTTAAGATGAAGTCCAAATTACTCACAATACCCCTTTATGATCTGGTCACTGTCTACCTGCTGAGTCTCATTTCTGCTAACCCTTCCTCATATACTACACTACTGTGCTATTTCACATCTTTTTGCTTTTATAATAAAGTTTCCTCTGCCTTAAAAACCAACCCCAGTGCTTTGTCCAATAAGTGAACTCCAAGACTCCAACATTAATTTTGCCCTTTGATCCTTATGCAACTGTCACTTTGTATTATCTATTTCCCTGTCTACCTCCTACACTAAATTGTGAGTTCCTTGAAAGCAGTACTAAATGGGAGAAAACAACTACACAAAAACACTAAGAATGGACACTAAAATTCACCTCAGACATTGGAACCTCATTATTGTTGAGCAAATTTATGGAAAGGACCTAAAGAAAGCATTCTGTTCCCAAACTAACCAAATGTAACTAACAGGTTTTTTAAAATACTTTTTTCCTTTTCTTCTTCTTCTTGTAATGCATCAGCCTGACAAGGGTTTAAGTGAGCAGATTAAGAACCTTAGACTTCCTTTTTGTTTCACAGTAGCTGTAAAGGAACAGGAATTCAAACTGGATCTTGAAAAGTTTTAGTTTAAGGCAGAAAAGGCTTAATAGGTCTCTTTCTGCTTTCTGATATGCATGTTGGGCTATGTGAACTTTCAGTCAAAACTACAAAGTGGCAAAACTGAATTTTTTTTTTTTTTTTGTCTGTTTGCTTTTGTTCCAGGGATTGAACCCAGGGGTACTTACCCTCTGAGCCACATCCACAGCCCTCTTTAGTTTTTCATTTTGAGACAAGACTCCTTAAATTGCTGAGGCTGGCTTTGAGCTTGCAACCCTCCTGCCTCCAGAGTTTCTGGGATTACAGGTGTGCTCCAGCACACCTGGTGAACTTGTTTTGTTTTAAGGCATGTTGTTCTTTAAAGGGAAGCTAAGAACTCAAATTCAAATAAACGATTCTATTAAGGGAGAGAGAGATGTCTAGAAAATTCCTCCATGGGAACTACCAAATGAGCAATCACAAAGATCGGAATACTAAGAACATGGGAGTAGTCTCAATTATAAAGGTGACTGGTGACTACTTTCAAAGAAATATTCTCAAACACCATGCCCACGTGGGCTCTTAGCCCCGAGAAACTGTGGCTTGCGGGTTAAGTCTTAAAATACTATGATACTTAATTTCCTCATACTAGGAGGTGATTACAAACACCTGGGTTACTGGTGTCAATGCACCAACACATATTCCTTGGTAAAATGCCAGGCTTATCACATAACAAGTCCACATTTTTTTTTTTAAAGTATTTTCCCCGTAGCAACTATTAGGAAGAGACGTTTCGGGGAGCGGGGGACCTGCTTTCACTATACTGTATTTATGAAAACAAGAAATCCGTCAAAAGGGCAGTAGAATCTGGACTCGGCAGGCACCGCTCGTCTTGGGCACTCTGACGCCTGCGAAGCGCTCAAACGGGGTCACCCTCRTTTCTCCTCGGCGGGGTCAAGGAAAGAGCCGTCTTAAGGGAGTCAACCCTGGGGGGGACTGTCCGGGAAAGCTGTCAGTCAGCAAAACGCGACTCAAAAGAAAAGGGGCCGACACTGGGGTGAAAGGTGGCAGCGGCGGCGCGGGAGGGGCTGCGCGAGGATGTCACAGACCCGCACGGCGGCCTCCCCCCCTCCCGGCCTCGGGCCCCAGCGACTCACATGCGGGCCCTCGCCCCCTCGGGCTCCTCCCGCCTCGGGGACATCTGCCGCCGGGCGTGGAGGATGGGCCAATTTCTTGCTTCCGGGAGCACAACCCGGAAGCAACAGCCACACCACAAGCGAGGTCGCACGCTCTAGGGTAGCTTCTCCTTCCCGCCCTGTGCTTCCGCCAAGAACGGAACGCACGACGCCGCGGGAACTCTCGCGATATCTGACGAGCATAGGTTCTGGCTCCCCCTGGCGTCCCTCTTGCTGCGTGGCCCTTTGAGTCTTCTGTATTCCTAGCCAGGGTCTGTCTCCCACGTGGACTGACAACAAGCTTCATAGCAAAACTATCCATTCAACAGTCATTTACTGAGTCCCCTAATTGCGTTCCAGCAGTGTGATAGGCATTGAGGGATGGGAGCAGGAGGGAGAAGCCCAGCCCTTTCTCAAATTTACACTTGGCCCACTCATTTGTATTTATTGAGAGTTTTCTCCGTGCCAGACATGACTGAGCGCTCTACATGGGCAAAACCGCTTCAACAACCCTATGACATAAATAGCCCCATAACGTTTATGCTCATGCAAACCAAACACGCTTAGGGAGAGGTTAACTAGCTGGAGAATGAGCTCACATAGAAGGAGTGGTGGGCTTAGCATTTAATCCCAGACTCTTTATCCTGCCCAAYTGCATGGCCACAGTTCTTAACTGCTTTCTACAATCTGCAAACAAGATTCTACTGGATTCAGACTAAATGCTACAGCTACAAAGGCAGTGTGTGATGTGATGCAGGGGTAGGGAAACCAATGAACCAATACAGACCCCAAAATAGAGCCTCACATGTAAATTATACACATTACCTACTGTTGTAGGGACAAACGAGGCAAGGCACCAAAGACAGCAGAAAATAGTTTTATTTGGCTGCAGCCAGGTTCAGAGGGTACAGCCTTGCTGTAATCAATCAACCCCCTGAATCCCGAGTTCAGGGAGTTTCAGAGTTTTATACCCAGCATGTAAGGGGAGGGGCTCAGAAGTTCACAGTCTGCAGAAGTTCACATAAAAACAGCTTTTTCTTTCACTGTTCTGGGCAAGTTAACTCTTCAAGGACAACACCTGAGAAGGGGACATGAAAATAGGAAGTTTATCTACATTGGACTCTTTTGCAGAGACTCTTTTGCTGACAGTCCCAAAATCAGCCATGGTGAAGAGGGCTTTTCTGTGGAGAAAGGGGATGCCCACTTCACCTACCACCCAGCAATTCTATAAGGTATCTACCCCCCCCCAAAAAAATATCATATACAAGTATCCCAAGACACAGATAAGAATATTCGTAGTAGCAGTATTATTTGTTAGAGGTACAATCAGGAAGCACACAACAGAATATTACACTGCACAAAAAAATGAAAAATGGTCATTGCATACAATTGCATGGATACATCTCCCCAGCATAAGATTAAGCAAAAGAAGGCAGATAGAAAAATGTATATTTTATTACTATTTATACAAAATTCAATCATTGRTATTAGAAGGCAGAAAGCACTTTCCTTTGGGGAGGAAGGAAGAGGTAATAATTAGGGGGTGGCCTCTGAGGAGCTGTAAACTTTATTTTTTTTTTAATTCGATGGTGGTTACACATGTGGGTTTATTATGTAGTTTTTTTTTTCTTTCTTTTTTCTTTTTCTCTTTCTTTTTTATGGTGCTGGGGATCTAACCCAGGGCCTTATACACACCATAAATGCTCCACTATTGAGCCATATCCCCAGCTCTCTACTTTGTAATAATTAATTAACCTATCACAATTTGGGTCTGCCCAGTTTTCTGAATGTATGTTTTACTTCAACAAAAATTTTTACTTTAAAAAAGTACGCTGGGGCTGGGGTTGTGGCTCAGTGATAGAGCTCCTGCCTAGCATGTGTGAGGCATTGGTTTCGATCCCTGGCACCACATAAAAATAAACAAACAAAACAAAGGCATTGTGTCCATCTACAATTTAAAAAAAAAAAATGTATGTTTAAAAAAAAAAGTGCTCTGGACAGCCTGGCACAGTGATAATATGCCTGTAATCCTAGTGACTTGTGAGGCTAAGGCAAGCGGACTGCAAGTTCAAGGCCAGCCACAGCAACTTAGCAAGGCCCTAAGCAACTTAGTGAGAGACCCTGTCTCGAAATTAAAAAAATAAAAAGGGCTGAGGATGTAGCTCATTGGCAAAGCACCTCTGGGTTCAATTCCCAGTATCTAAATAAATAAATGCTCTGTGGAGTCCAGAGGCCCTTGAGAGTCCAGACCTGCCCTTTCTTTCAGTCTCCATACCGCAGCCACAGTAATGTTGCCAACATACAAAATCTGATTCTGCCACTTCACAGCTCCAGATCACCCTCAGAATTGAGTCCCTTGACCCTTCATGACCCCACTTCTCTTCTGTTACACTCAGGCCCAGGACAGCCTGGGAAACACTCTCTGACTTTCCAAACTCTGTGTAGTGCTCAAGAAAAAACAATTTTCATGGTCTAGGCAAGGGAAGTGGAAGAAAAAGAAACCACTCAAAAAAATATTTCCAAGGTATAACAGACCAGGAAGGCTGCCAGAAGGGGAGGCAGGGGAAAGGCACGGGTGCCAGCTCACATTCACTCTTGGTGGGTCCTGGCGCTGATCACATCCTCCTGTATGTTCTCTTCCGCTGTAAAACCTGGCGGTTGGAAGACAGAGAAAAGATCCTGGGTGTGAAAGTCTTCAGTAAACTGTAAAGTGGGAGGGAAGGGATTGAGTAGCTGAGTAGCTGAGAGAACATGAGAAATCAAGATATGGCTGGTGACTAAGGCAATAGGATTAGGGCACAGAGGAGGAATGGTTTGGGGAAGAGGCTGGGGAGCAAAATGATAAATCCATTCCTTCCTTCCCTTTTTATTCCCCCCCCCCCCAATATTGGGGATTAAAACCAGGGACTCTCTACCACTGAGCTACATCCCCAGCCCTTTTTATTTTTTTATTTTGAGACAGGGTCTCCATAAGTTGTGAGTTTGTGATCCTCCTGCCTCAGCTTGCAGAGTAGCTGGGATGACAATCATGTGCCACCATGCCTGGCATCTACTCATTTCTTCAGTATTGGCCTCTCTCTGTTGAGATTTAGAAAAGTCCTTGACAAAGTTCCCTGATAACCGCACAGTGTGGAACAGAAACTGCTGGTTTGTGAATTGATGCCTTAGTTTGGAGCAGCCACTGGGGCTCCCACTGCTGGGGCTCCTTATCAATATTAACGTGAAAAGACATGGTCCCTAAAGTGGGCCCTTGATAAGCTACTTGGAGAGATTAGAATCTGACACAAGCAGTTAGACACCAAAAGAAGGCAGCATGGAATGAAGGGCCAAGAGAAGACTGAAGATATACAGGAAAAACAAAACTCAAATTCAGTTTCTCTTAATACATTCTCCCAGCACAGATCACTTCTAACACCAGACAGGTAGGGTTTTCCCACACACACTAAGCAGGCAATCAATTACTGGTATAAATCAGTGTTCCCACACCTCGGATTTGACTAATTCACTCCAGTGGCTCACAGAACTCAGGGAAACATTTATATTTWCTGGTTTATTATAAAGGACACAAATGATGATATGCATAGAGCAAGGTATGGGGGAAGAGGCATGGAGATTCCATGCCTTTCCAGAACCTCCATGTGTTCAGCTATCCAGAATCTCTCAGAACCCTGTCCTTATCCTATTTCCCTCCAGTGCTGGGGCCAAACTCAGAGCCTCACACCTACAGGCAAGTGCTCTTCCACAGAGCCACACCCCCAGCTGCGCCCCTTCCCTTCAGGTTTCTTATGGAGGCTTCATTACATAGRCAYGATTGATCAAATCAGTAACTATTGGTGATCGACTTAACATTCAGTCCCTCTCCCCTCCCCTGAGATTGTGGTGGAGCTGAAAGTCCCAATATCTATCCCGCCTGGATCTTTCCCATGACTATCCCTCATCCTGAAGCTACCTAGCGGCTGCTAGTCACCAGCAATCATTAGTACACGCACAAAAAAATGTCACTTTTTGAGGCAGGAGGAGTTCAAAGCCAGCCTCAACAATGGCGAGGCACTAAGCAATTTGGTGAGACCCTGTCTCTAAATAAAATACAAAATAGGGCTGGGGGTGTGGCGCAGTGGTTGAAGCTTTCTGTAGGAACTGGGACAAAGGCAAGATCTGGGAAGACCTGCAAGGAAAGAGAACARCCTGGACAAAGGCCTAGAGAGGGAATGTTGGTGACATATACAGGGCATGAAAAAAATCACAGGGGTGATTCTGGAGAGGTCAGTGAGGGGCCAATGGTAGAGGGTCTTCAAGCCCAAGTCAAGTGGTTTAGGACTTCACTAGGCAAAGAAACCAATTCAGTGTTTTAGAGCAAAGTGACGCACTACAAGATATTTCAGGAGGAAGTTTTGACTGCTAATGTGTGTAGGGTGGATCAGTGGGAGAAAGACAAAAGGCAGGGAACCCAGCAAGGGGGCTTCAGAATAATGTTAGTGTTAAAAGTCTGAAATGAAATTGAGACTAGGAAGGAAGGCTTATAAGTTGGGGATCTTTGGAAAAAAGAATTGACAGGACTTGATGATGAGTCACTTATAAGGAACAGAGGGAGACTGGATAGTTTCTAGGCTGAAAAGTGATGTTTCTGTAAAGTTTATAATTTTGTRTGTGTCTGTGGTSCTGAGGATCAAATCCAGGGCCTGTAGCAGGCAAAGCAAGCATGCTAGCACAGTTACAGCTCCAGCTCTATGTGATTTTACTTTCAATGGAAACATTTATTTAGATGATACAGGATAAATGGAGTAAATACAAGCTATTCTGACTTTAATGTTAACTATCATATATAATTCAGGAAAAGAATCCAGGTGTCTCTGTCAACTCCTATAGGCACTAATGTTTTTTGGGGGGACAAAAAGGCCATTAACAATAAAAGTCTCTGGAATGACCCAGCAAAACACTGTTTTATTCCTGTGTAAAATCCCAATGCATCCTCATTGTTCCTGAAGCTTCCCAAGACACAAAGTAAGGAATTACACATAATTAAGACTTTCCCATCCAGCTCAAGGATCACGAGATGAACATAAACACATTTTCAGGGGATGAAATTAATCATACTTTACATTAGCACAGCACTCATCAGTTTAAAATGTCCTTTCATGCTGAGCTCAATGGCACATGCCTATAATTCCAGCGGCTCAAGAGGCTGAGGCAGGAGGATCATGAGTTCAAAGCCAGCCTCAGCAACTTACCGAGGCGCTAAGCAATGCAGTGAAACTCTGTCTCTAAACAAAATACAAAAAGGGCTGGGGATGTGACTCAGTGGTTAAGTGAGTTCAATCCAGGTACCCAAATTAATTAATTAATTAATTAATTAATTAAATGTAGTTTCATATCCATTAATCATTCAGTAAAACCTGAGCAACAGTGCTCAGTACTGAACAAGGAGGGCACAAAGAGGAAGCCCAGTTCCTCTCTGAAGGAGCTAGTCTAGTTTATTTTGACAATCTTATACACTTTTATTCTGGCTTAACAATTAAGGACACTAAGGTTAAACTGGGGTTGTGAACACAAGCTCACCAGGTGTGGTACAAGCAAGTTATTTCATCTCTGTAAGGCTCAGTTTTCTGAAAGAATAGTAACATCTATGTTAGGAAATTTGAAGGTTAAGCCTGTAAATAAAGTGTTTGGCTTAATGCCTTGCACATGGTAGGCATTTATTTAGTCTTTATTAAGTAGTGTACAAAGCATTTATGATTTTATTTACCCGGTTTTGTTTTTTTATTTAAAACAATTTTTTGTATTTGTAGATGGACAGAATGCCTTTATTTTATTTGTTTATTTTTATGTGGTGCTAAGGATGGAACCCAGTGCCTCACATGTGCAAGGCAAGCGCTCTGCCGCTGAGCCACTGCACCCCCTCCATTTCGTTTTTGTGGACCCTCTGAATCTTTTCTCAGTTTCTCTTTGTTTCTCCTTCTCTTGCCCTGAGCATTTTTTTTTTTTTTTGGTGGTGGTGGTGGGGCGGGGAGTATGCTGGGGATTGAACCCAGGGACACTCAACCACTTAACTACATCCCAGTCCTTTCTAGTTTTTATTTGTAGATGAAGGCTGGCCTCAAAATTTCAATCCTCTTGCCTCCATCTCTCAAGAAGGAGGGATTGCAAGTTTGCACCATCCCACCCAAAAGAGCAAAYGTTAACTTTAGAGCACCATCTATCCAAGGCCAACCATTTTAAACCTCTCCCTTGCTCTGATCTTTCTGACCTACATTTTCTTGACTTTCCCCTTCCTTACCTCTCATTTTCTTTCACATCTTTCCTTTTCTCCCTCCAGACACCTTGCCTTTGGAGTCTAGAGACTCAGATTTGTTGTATGGCTGTGGAAAAACAAGTCATTTTAATTACAGTAAGCTTTCACATCTGAAAAATGGAAATAATACTAGCTACAGGATTCCTTTGTGGAGACGAGACAACAAAGTGCAAAAACTGGGAAATCGCACAGCTCCTTGTAAAAGTTTGTCACTAGGATCTCTCAATTCTATTTCCTTTCGTTTTTCATCTCCTGTTCTTCCCTGGCCAATTATGGGACTAAGAAATTCTTCAAATTGAGGCCGGGTGCCGTGGAGCTCGCCTCTAATCCCAGCGGCGAGGCAAGAGGATCACAAGTTCAAAGCCGGCTTCAGCAACTTGGGGAGGCACTACGCAACTTGCACTTGCAATGTGCAATTGTCTCAAAATAAAAAAAAAAGTTCTGGGAATGTGGCTCATTGGTTAAGCGACCCTGGGTTCAATCCCTGGAACAAAACAAAGAAATCTTCAGGTTGAGTGTTAGGATATCCTTCCAATCGGAGTGAAGACTCGAAGGCCCCGCCTTCCCTGCCTAAAAGGACCAATGAGGTCGTGCGGAGAGTGGCGCGGTCTCTCGTTTGGGGGTCGCCTCTAATGGAACCTGCACTTTTCTTCCTGCTTCCGCCCAGCCACTTTTCGCCTGGTACCCCAAACTTGGATGAAGAGTTCTTCCTCTTCCTCGTCCCATTCGCCTAAATCCTGGAATCCAAAGGGTTGAGCAGTGGGGACCGGAAGTGTGCGCAGCAGCAGCGGGTCCCCAGCAAATCGCCGGAAGTAGCAACTGCTAGAGGAGGAGTCCGCCGGCTTCGTTATGGCGGCCATTCCCCCAGACTCCTGGCAGCCGCCCAACGTTTACTTGGAGACCAGGTGAGAGGGCGGGGGTCGGTCCCTGCGGCTGGACTGGCAGAGGCGACGCGGAGTCCGGGCCTCGCCTTGAGCTCGGTTTCCCGCGCTCTGCCCCAAGAGGCCAGGCTTCACGTCAAAGAGCGGGAAGCGGCGGCGGAGAAGACCCCTGAGGGCGGACGGGGGACCGCCACGCCTGCGCCCAGCGCTGCACGGGCTCACGCTGTGGGTTTGATCCCAGTACTTCGGAGACAGCTGCTGGTTGTCGTCCTCCTTCCACCTCATTCATTCATTCATTCATTCATTCACTCAACAAAGGCCAGGCAGGTAGGATCTGGAATCTGGGAATACAGAGGTGGATAAGTCGCATCCCTGCCTTTAGGAGCTTACAGTAAGACCTTACGTGACACGTTGCACGGTGGTGTGAACAAATTACTATGAAAGCACAAGAAGCACGTTTTTCCCACTATCAGAGAGTGAGGTGGTAACAGTATGACCAAGCACCAACCCGCTTGTGCCATGCCTCTGATGTGTGCCATCACATTTTAGTTTAATTCTCCTACAGTTTAGATTAGATCCAAGCTACACAGCTATTAAGTGGAGGGCACCTCATTTGGATCCTGGTCCTCTTGCCTCACCTGCTAGATTCTTTAGCCCCATTCGTTCCTTTGCCTCTTTGGAAGAAACTCAGTGATCTTTCCAAAGTAGGACGAGGGAATCCTTCTCAAAAACTCTAAATAACGTCTTGCTGAGAGAGCATAAAAACTTTCTAGTCTGGCTTTTTTTCTCTTCTGGCCCTTGCTTACCTGCTGTTCCCCCATCAGCCGCCAGGAGCCAACCAAGGTCCCTGCCTGATACTGTCTCCGCTACTTTCAACCAGAGCAGAGTTCTTTCGGGCCCCACTCTGTATTTGCTGGTAGTGTTTTTGCACTGACCATCTTTTTCTTCATCTTATATGCCAAAATTTTACTTTATGCAGGCCCCAACTTGAAATTTAAGTCTCTCGTCAGTATTTTTTTTTTAATTGCAGAATATGTTGAAAATTCAATCTAAGCAAAATAGGGGTATAAAAAGGAGTAAAAGTCATCCTCCCCCCCAAAATAAACCTACCCCCCTATTAACTCTCCAGATTTTTGGGGGAGGGGCCCTGGGGATTGAACCCAGGGGGCACTTTACTGCTCAGTCACATCCCCAACCCTTTTTATTTTTTATTTTGAGAAAGGGTMTCACAAAGTTGCTTGTGGTCTCTTTAAGTTGCTGAGGCTTGTCTTGAACTTGTGATTCTCCTGTCTCAGCCTCCCTAGTCCCTGGGATTACAGGGGTCTGCTACCACCCACCTGGCTCCAGATCTTTTTTAATGTATGTATAACCATCGATGTGTTTTATCCTCTTAACAAAATTGGGGCCATAGGTCATATATTTTTTTCAGTAATTTTGATTTTTTTTTWAATTTTTTTTTCTCAGTGACAACATGTAGTTTTCCATAGTATGGATAGTTCCATATTTTAGTAATTTTCTTTTTCAGGGACATTTAAGTTGCTTCTGTTTGTTTGCTAGGACAAATACTAAAATGAACATCTTTGAACATATTATAACCTTAGAAACTTATAAGTTTTCTTGGAGAAAAGTCTGGGTGGGTGATGATGTGTAGGAGAAGACTCCTTTCCTACCTTCATTATCCTTAGGAATACTGGGGAGGAAAAAAAGCATTTATCACATTGGGTAGGTGCAAAGGTTTGAAGTCATCAGGTTTTGTGTTCACTTTATGCCCTCCCAAACACACAGACTATACCTTTGTGTGTGTGTGTGTGTGTGTGTGTGTGTGTGCTGCTGAGATTGAGTTCAGGGCCTTGCACATGATAGGCAAGCCCTTTACCACTGAGCTACATCTCCAAACCTTTTTATTTTTTGAGACAGGGTGTTGCTAAGTTGGCAAGGCTGGCCTTGTACTTGGATCCTCTTGCCTCAGCCTCTGATTACAGGTGTGCACCACCATGCCCAGTTTTATTTTTCTACTAAAAGGTATTAAGGTAGGTAATCTATTCATGTGGATCAAAAATAGGAAAATTTAGGTTGGGCATGGTGGCCTAAACATGGTGTCTTCCATCCAGAAACTTAGGCAAATATAAATAAATCTGAACAAAATTTTTTTTTCAGATTTATTTATATTTAATGTCATTTTAACAAAATTTTAATAAAATTTACAAATTAAGTACAAGATTTTTTTTCCTAAAAGAAGTACCAGAAATCCCAGCATATTTTATTAAAAGGAGATCATCTGTGTTTGTGTTATTTGCATTTATGTTCTTGTGTTTGAGTATGAAATCTTGTGGTTATCACAATTTCATGACTTACAAGATTGAAAATCAAAAATCCTTGCCAGGGCTGGGGATGTGGCTCAAGCGTTAGCGCATGCGGCCCGGGTTCGATCCTCAGCACCACATACCAACAAAGATGTTGTGTCTGCCGAGAACTAAAAAATAAATATTAAAAATTCTCTCTCT